ATGTGTGTGTGTGTGTATATATGTATAAGTATATGCATATGTATATATGTATTTGTATGCATGCATACACACATGATTAGATGTGCATCTTTAGCATCTTTTACCTACATCCGATCCACCATCATCCGTACCTCTGGCACATTTATGGTGCTCTGCCAGACGATGAGTTGGTGACCATCCAGTACAGTTACAGTGTTCGAATGTTATCTAGCCACGTCTAGATGCATGTATCCGCTAGAACAATCGTCAGTAGTACTGAAGTCTTCTCATGTGTGTTGGTGGCATCGTCCATCGCATCTATAGCCTTTGCATACCATCTCTAACCTTTTGCCTGGCGTCTTCGGTCTACTCCTCGTGCGCGTACCCTTCCACAGAGCACACAGAAAGGCCACGGTTGGGTGACCATCGTAGAGACCTATCCCATGCAGCAGGACAGGGACGGCTACACACGCCTGAAGCAGAAGCTCAATGGCGTGCTGTTTGTGTACTTCCAGCACATCTATGGCATTTGGCCTGGTAACACGCTACGCTACCTACACAAAGAGATCGCCAAGGCACGCGCACGCGAGCACGACCAGCGCCAGGGCAGTGGACTGGGCCACAGCCAGCAACTCAGCCAGTACATGGGAGGGGGGGTGGACACGCAGGTACGTACGCACCGCACCTGTCCTGTCCTGGTTGGTCTTTTATTTGGGCCTGTCCTGGTTGGTCTCTTTTTGGGTCTGTCCGGAATTCCGTTGCGTGGACTTGTTGTATCAGTTCGATAGGCCCACTGGAACAGCCGCCGCTGTGGGTGGGCTCCCAATCGATTCTCTGGTTTTTGGTTAAACGTATCAGTCAATTCATCTGGAAGACATACCCCTCATAGTCGCTACATCTACGTCATACCCTCCTCCACCCCCTGTGCCTACATCTACGTCATACCCTCCTCCACCCCCTGTACCTACATCTACGTCATACCCTCCACCCCCTGTACATACATCTACGTCGTACCCTCCACCCCCTGTACCTACATCTACGTCATACCCTCCACCCCCTATACCTACATCTACGTCCTATCGTCCTACCCTCTACCCCCTAACACGAATGCTTTAACGCTTATTGACCCCAAACAATACCCTATCGAGTCGACAAACAACTTTCAACGGACAAATGGTCATGCATCTACACGCGCATGCACATTTACAGGCACATACCCGCACCGATGGGATTGCGGGAGACGACACACATGCGCTGTTGAAGCCGTTTCTGCGGTCAGTGGTGCTGAATGAGACGCTAGTGGAGCTATCGCCCGAAGACGAACTCAACAAAGAGCGGTGGAGTGCATTGGATTCGCAGGCGATCGCGTCAATGTGTCTGCGATACGGTACATCTAGGTATGTTTTTGGGCTTTATGTATGTGTGCTTGTGTAGGTATATATGGATATTCTTCTCGGTATATGTATACATATGGGTGTGCTTATTTGGTATGTTTTCGTGTTTAATGTACGTGTGCTTGTGTAGGTATATATGGTGATTCTATCTCGGTATATGTATACATATGGGTGTGCGTATTTGGTGTGAATCTGTTGCTGTGTGTATATTCCACGTTAATGCCTATGTATCTGTGTATCTGTGTGTAGAGTACAATACGCAAGTATTGAGACTCGCTATACCAGTGCTCATTTTCCGAGTCTTTTAAATAGTAATGAACTCTGGATATCAATTTGTAGATCTCATTGACATATGATGCTCTTATAAGACTAATTTGCACATTTACGGTGGACATGTATGTGTATCTCATTTCATACGCAGATTTTGCTAAATATAAAAAGTTCTGTACCATATCCACGGAAACTGTTCTAATCCACCGTGCCAACTTCTACATGTACCTCATATATTATATAAATACCCACCAATCACATCACAGCGGGGAGAACTTCTTTCTCTCCGAAGCCGCCCGTGGATCCGCCCAGACCACGACGAACCAGATGTGGGCCTTAGCCAAAGGCAAAGACACCCACACGCCCAATGGCGGCAGCATTGACAACAACTTCGACGACAACAACATCAACAACAACATCAACAACACCTCGGCCGATGAGTCATCCTCCAGTGGTACCGAACTGCCGATCACCGGTGACGTCAACGATGACGTACGCGGTCGCGCACGAGGCATGGCATCACCGCCGCGCAGTAACAGCACACCACTGTATATACCGTTTACACAACAACACACTCCCAAGAGCGGGGGCAGCACTCACGGCATGCCGCCCGCCAAATACGCCGACGATATCAATGCAGACACAGGAGAGGTTAGAGGACAGGTGGTAACGGACGATACGAAAAGAAGTGGGCCAATGGCTGCGGAGGGGTCGTCGGCAGTTGGGAGGCACGCCTCTGCCCCCCCTCAGCCGTCGTCACCATATGCCCAGGTATGTTCTTGCCTGCGGAGGAAATGGATAGGTGTGTGTGCGAGGGTCTCATGCATATATGGGCATACATATGTAGGTATATAGATAAATAGTTAGATA